CACTGCTATTCCTATGGTTTTCACTGGCCAATTCTTTGAGAAATGGACGGCCTCTTCCTTCTTCTGAGTCTGTCTTAGTTTTCAAGCTCTGCTGTAGCCTGTCAACTATGAGTAATCCTGCTGGCATTTGAAGCACTGGTTGCTAGCCTCCAGCCTCACAGAAACATGCAAGCCCACCACCGTAGGACAAACTGACCAACAGGTTTGTCTCTCTTAGTTTTCCAAACCTTTCCACTCACTTCTGCACCACCTCCAAGTGCTCCGACATCTGCCTGCCAGCGCCCAGCTCACTGAGGCTTATTGGCACTGGCTGCAGGTGCTCCGACACCCACCTGCCATCTCACTGACACTTAGCCTTTAGTAAGTACCAGAAGTTGGAATCCTTGGGTAGTGCCAACAGTTAATGTAATTAGCTGCTAATGGAGAGATTCACAGTTTGATTCCACCCAGAGATGCCTTGTAACAAAGGCCTGGTGGTCGACTTCCAAAAACGGTCCAGTGAACATCCAATGGAGCTCCATCCTGCTCTGACACCAATAGGGTCACCAGGAGTTGGAATCAACTCTATAGCAACTGGTTGCTGGTTAAGTGCTAAAGTTACCCATCGTAATTATTATTGTAGGTTAATAATGACTATGAGGAGCTCTGGTAGCGTAGTGCCTCAGGCACTTGATTGTTAACCAGAAGGCTGGCAGTTCAAACCCACCAGCCAATCCTCAGAAGGAAGGTTGGAGTATCTACTTCCATAGTGATACTGCCTTGGAAACCCGAGGAGGGGTCACTGTGAGTTGAGTCCGACTCAAGGGCACATAACAACAACAACAACAGTGATTATGACCTAGAGTTTATGTTTATCACATTTCCATGCCATTTAATCTACATTTGAGAATTCATTTTATTATTGTACCTTTTTAATATTAAAATTGCCTAATAGGAGACCTGGTACTTTTTTCTTTCAGGTATCCTTTTAAACATAGTCTAGATCTATGTTAAATCATTTGTATGTAATCTTAAAGATGAAATGCAGTATTCTAGTCAGTTATTTAAGGTCCATTCCAAGGCATTTCTTTATTATTTTATCTCATAATAAATTTAGGTAACTATGTCTGTATATATATGTGTGTGTGTGTGTGTGTATGTATTCTTCGTAATCTGCTTTTGTATGGTGTTGAAGAAGAAAAAGACTTTCATCTCTCCATGTCCCCTAAATTGTTCTTGGAATAGTTATTATAAGGATATAGGGAAATGAAAGTAGGCTATAAAACCATGCCTTGTTGATTTAAACACCCTAACTTAAATTCTAATGAAATATAAAGAAAATGCTTTAGAGAACAAATTATTTCTCAGCAAAATAAAGGTGAAAATACGAGGCCATTAAGTTTAGCAAGCTGTTTGGGAAGCATATTAACATTTCTATCTTGATAATTCGTTTCTTATTTGTAATATGTAATTTTTCTAAAGGTGCTTAATTTTCTTTGTGAAAATATCATTGGGCAAAAACATTAGTCTAGAAATTAAACATTTAAACCCAATTACATCCTCAATTAACTTGAAATGGCCTATTACAGAAAACTTGACTGTTTCTTAAGATTGTCTTAAAAATATTAGCCATTTGTAAGATGTTTAGCATTTGTTTCAAGGATAATAGAAGTTTCTTGAAAGTAGACTATTAATCATTAAACAATATTTGAATGCCTTCAAAAATCAAACCTAACTCACTGCCATTGAGTTGATTCCGACTCATAGTGAGCGACGACCCCCTTTGGGTTTCCGAGGTGGTAAATCTTTACAGGAATAGATTGCCCAGTTTTCCTTCTACGGAGTGGTTAGTAGGTTTGAACCTGCCAACCTTCTGGTTAGCAGTCAAATGCTTTAGGTACTATGCCATCAGAGCTCCTTATTTGAATGCCTGGTATGCTCGGAAGAAAGATGGGGTCATCTACTTCCATTGTGATACTGCCTTGGAAACTCAAGGAGGGGTCGCTATGAGTTGGCTCCAACTGGATGGCACATAATAACAACAACATGTGGTAAATACTAAGAGTTTCAGAGGTTTAAACAAAGAATAGATACAATGTCTACCTTCAAGTAGTACATTATTCTCAGACCATTAAAACACACTGCTTTGTTGATGTTATTGTTTTGGTTGCCTTCACATTGGCTCCGTTATGGCAACCTTATATATAAGAGAATGCAATGTTGCTCAGTCCTGCACCATTTTCATGATTGTTAATATGTTTTAGTCATTGTTGCAGCTGTTGTGTAGTGCCTTCTAACCTAGTGGGTTCATCTTCCAGCAATATATTGAATAGTATTCTGTTGTGATGTACAGAGTTTTCATTGACCAATTTTCAGAATAAATCACCAGGCCTTTCTTCCTGGTCTTAGTCTGAAAACTCCACAGAAACCTGTCCAGCATGGGTGACCCTTCTGGTATTTGAATTACTCATGGCATAAGGTCCTGAATCACAGAAACATGCAATCCACCACAGTACAGCAAGCTAATAGACATGTGGTTGTTGATGTTAGGAGTTCCAAAGTAGTAGTTAATGGTAACATTTTAGAATTATCTCATAAACGCATAGCATTTCATGAAAAAAAAAAAACCTAACATAGTTACCTTCTAAAATAATTAACCTCATGTGTGACATTTCCCAAAGCAATAATTCTTCTCAAGCTAATATGTACACAGTTATCCAAGATTTTATTTGATGGTCATCAGTAAGTAATCAGCAGCAAAGTCTAGTACTTGCGAGAATGGACTCTGGAAGCTGCCTGTCTTATTTCAAATCCCAGGACCACTTAGAAGCTGTATGACAGCGAGCAAGTTACTTAGCCTCCCAAGGCCAGTTTCCTCATTTGTAGAAGGAAGCCATAATACTATATTGATAATACTGACAGCATTGATGTAAATATTAAATACTAACTTCTCGAGGGTGAGGACATGTCTTAATCATCTTTGTATCCTTAGCACCTAATACTGTAAATAGCATAGATAAAAATCCATATGTTTACTGACCTAAACTAACTTGCTAGTGGGTAAATTGGCTATATATATATTTTTAAACCTGCTATGTGTTCCAAATGGGGGAAAATTAAGTTAACTCAAGTTGAATTCTCCTCTAATGTAGAATAAACTTGTTCCTTACAGGGATCCTACTTATATCTGGAAGAAAAATAAAATTGTTAACCCTGTAGCTTGAATAATCCCTGAATGGTGCAAACTGTTAGATGTTCGAGTATTTGTTGAAAGGCACCTTGCAAGACAGGCCTGGGGATCTGCTTCTAAAAGGTCAAGGGTTGAAAATTCTGTGGAGTAGTTCTATGCATGGGGTTGCCGTGAGTTGGAATCGACTCAGTGGTAACTAACAACAACAGTGTTGTGTAATGATTCTTAAAATATTGTTTCTTGATATTTTATTTATTATTATTTTTTTATTGTGATTTGGGTGAAGATTTACAGAGCAAATTCACTTTCCATACAGCAGTTCATATATACTTTGTCTCATGTCATTGACCCCAGTTTACCACAATGCAACAGTTCCCCTCCCACTTCCTCCCCATAGTTAC